TTGGAAGATTTATGATCACTCAAAGTTGACCTTCGTTTTGCTTGAATCAGAATTCGAATTTATTGAGACAAAGACCAGAAGTTCTACACTGATCGATTAAGCTCTCAAGCAAGATGCTACTCAAACATGTTATTAAGTAAAAGCACTAGAAGAAATGAGGAAATGAAAAGCCATTATCAGATATTACTCAAGCCTGATCAAGCAACTACATACTCGATCACTTTATCGAGTTCCTGGTACTATCTCTTCAATTCTTTTCTTTTATCTTCATATGCATTATTAAGGTTTTATCAATAACCTGTTGGATAAATGATTTTCAAATAACATTATAGATAAATGTATTTATCGATCACTTGATCGATAAACAAGGTTAACGTTATAGATAAATAGGTCATCGATAAGAAGACAGATAAATGGTAATGCGCTCTACTCACTCTATGTTTTGCCTTAGTCACCATTTATCGATCACTTTATCGATCAGTGATTTATCGATAATATGATTGAACATTGCTACATAACTCTGCGTGTAGGTAATTATTTCAGTAGTTTATCGATCACCTGATCGATCAGTAAATTATCGATCACATGATCGATAATCAGTACATTGTTTTTAAATCATGATTCTTCGATCACAGGATCGATAATCTCATTATCGATAATATGATTGATCACCGCACTTCATGTTTGCCTTGTTTTCACATAATGTGATTGATAAATCAGTTCTTTGATTTTACAAGAATTAACCTCTTTATCGATCACTTGATCGATCATTCATTAATCGATCACCTATTTAATCAACCTACATAGCCTGTGTTTTCACTGAATATACTTTTACTTATTGTTTATCGATAATGTTATCCATCATCCATTTATCAATAATATGTTCAAAAAATTATTGCTTTAAATTCTGTTCTATAACACTTTGTTTATCGATAACCTGATCAACAAGTGTTCGATCACTTGTTCGATCATTATACAAGTTCATTTTATAACAGCATTTCGCGATGATTTTGAAATATTTTATCTTTTTATCTTTAAGCTTTTCCTAGCCTTCTTTTTACACATAATTCTCTACTAAAAGGATACGAAGGCAAACTTAACTTGAAAAAGATTATCCTTGTATAATCCATTTAAAGCTCACTGCATACATGTTTCATCATTTATCGATCATTTGTTCGATCATCATATGATCCATAATCTATTCGATAATTACATATATCTGCTATATCTTTTCTTCATATAATTAATCGATAATATGATTGATCAAAGGATTATCGATTAAGGCATCGGTTAAGTAAGTTCATCTTACTTTCTGAATATTTGAATATATGATGATTGATTCCATGTTTTCCAACTTATTATTTCTAAAATTATCAAATACTTATCACTTGATCTAAGGAAGATTATTTCAGGTAAAGAGCTACAACGAATTTATGATGTGAAGAATCAACTTTTGTCAGAAGCTTCTAATGGCTAGTTTCAACGGTCATATTCTTCAAGCCAAACGGGAAGAAAATGCTCAACGGTCAAGTACCCAACATCATCTATAAATAGAAGAGCATTCAAAATAAGAAAAAGAAGAAGAGTCTGAGCTTACAAGATCAAATGCTAAAATGCCGAATCAACATACTCTCATTTAGAGCTTTGAAAAAAAAACTCCTTGTCTCTGTACTTCATAGACTAAAACATATGTATTTGTAAGATAGAGAGGAGAGTTTCCCAAACGTGCTTAAGATTCATCTATCACTTCTTTGAGATAAGAAATATTTAATCTTCATTATCATTTTTAGATTGTATCCTTATGGTGAGTAAGGGGGAGTATTTACCTTGGTGTGAGGTTGCTGTTGAATAGACTGGTTAGTCTAAGAATTGTAAGTGGCGTCACAAGTACATGGATCAAACTTGTGGTTGTAGTGGTTCTCAAGTACCCGTGCTAAACTTGAGGGAGATAGTCGATTGAAAATCTTAGGGGGAGCCTGGGGACTGGACATAGGTCAGTGAGGACCGAACCAGGACAAATCGCAGTTTGCATCTTCTCTTCCCTTACCTTTTTATATTTCCACCTAAACCATTTTACTATTGTGATTATGCTTATGTCGATTCATTGTTTTTATACTCAGAATTTCTTATGAATTTTATTACATTGCAAAAAAGTTTTTAATTTTAATTAACACCCAATTCACCCCCCTCTTGGGTGATCAGCCATTCTTACAATCGAAAAAACATAGGTGCTTTATGTCCAAAATTTCTATTTTCAATTCTAATGCTTCCAAACATGTTTTCTACATATAACCCTACACAAAATCATCATTTAAACTTATTGGAAGCATCAAAATCATCAAATTCTAGACCCATCATAAATTTCCAGTCACAGCAGAAACAAACACAAATGAAAGGGGAAGTTGGATTTCTCCAAGAATCAATGTCAAACCACTTGATTCATGTTGTTTTCAAGCTTTTAAACAGGTTTCTAACATCAATTTCATCTTTTTCCTATTCTTTAAACTTCGTGCAGCACCTCCCTCATAGGGTTTCAACCATGAAAATTTAACCAAATCACTTACCAAGCTCACAAATAGCAAGGAGGATGAAAACTACATTCAAATCCATAAACATACCTTGAATTAGAGCTTGGATTTGCTTGGGACCTCTTGTTCTTCATCTTCTTCTTCTTCCTCATTACTGTTCAGTCTCCTCTCCCCTTTCTCCCCCTTGGCCGAAAATGTTGCAAGTGTGAGAGGAAGAGATATTTAATGAAAACTTGAATGAGTCTTGGCCATTAATCTCAATTTTAGGTGGCTTAATCTTGGCCCTTGATTTCTTTTCTTTCTTGCCAAGAAATTTGCCACATGTGCTGCCATTCCTCTCTCCTATTAGTCAGCATTTTTCTACCCAAAATATCTTCAAAATTTCGGACCAAGTGGAAGGGAAACAATCAACCACATATGCAAGCTTATTTCACAAGCTTACTTGATATATTTTGCAAAGTCATGATTAAACCTTATCCAACCAACTTGATCATGTGCATGGGCTTAGGGAGCACGAAATTCTCTGATTCTTTGAGCTAACTAAGTGCCCCAAATCTGGTTAGGAAGCAATGGGATTAATCTAGTTCAATCCCAACCACAATCCTTTACTCGATTTTCTCCTTTTAGGCCTTTACTAGGGAAAATAGCTTAGGGCCTCCAAAAATTCATTTATTTTCATGAAAAATACGCATTTAATATAAAAGTATGATCTAAAAAGTTTGGAGATTTTTCATAACCTCTAACTATTTATTTCACATTTTCTTCGAAATCGGGCTTTTACCGATAGGATTTCGGAAGTAAATTCCCCATAAATTATTTCCTTTACTTTCAATGCTTGGGAAAAATTTTATAAATTCACATATATTCCCAAGAAACTTACCCATATTTTTCCTTGAATTATTGAGGCCCTTATATAATTAAAATAATTATATTTCCTCAATTTTCACTATTTTTTTCAAAAATCACTATTTTTAGGAAATGTCACAATAATTTATTTTGGGCTATTTTCACTCCCAAAGCATCATATATGACTTAAAAACCCTTAATTTACCATTTTTCCATTTTTAGGGAATTTTTGAAAAATTTTCATAAATTTCCCATTTTGACCCTTAAGGGACCCGACATTGTCAGTTCGGCTCCCTTCCGAGTTTCTTAGCATTGCCAATATACCTTTCATTGACTCTTAACTTAATCTTCTCATAGTATACTTATAGAGAAAGGAATATCCCATCCCTCTCTCTCTCCAGTGATGTAATTAATTAAATAATATTTAATCGAAGTCGATTTTCCTGAATTCTTTTCTACTGGCTCATAACTCTGTCGATCTGTCTTTGGGTTTTATTCTTTCCCTTTCATCACAGGGAATTCCTCTAATTTTTCTTAAGTCAAAAGTCAAACCTTAGACGGCTGTTTTGAGTTTCTCTAGATAGGGTATAAATAGGCTTTAAATTTAATTAAAGCTAACCCTGTCAATTTCTGGGGACAGAATTAATTTTACAATTTGTGTAAATTCCTCAGCTACTGTTTCGCAGTTTTTCCTAATTATTTGAGGCCGTCTCATTCCTTCAATAATTCAATTGAAGTTACTATCTCAAATTGCTCAAAACCCTGGAATGAATTCAGGGCATTTTCGTCATTTCTAGCCTTACATCGGCTCCGGGATCCTATTCCCATTTTTCTGGAATTTTTCTAAAACATTTGGGCCATTTTCGATAACTTTGAACATTGGTCGACCAGAACTTTTATTATTTACAATTAGATCCCTACTTGGCCTATGAATATTTTCTTTACAATTTAGTCTCTAGGAATTCCTCTGTCCCTTCAGGGAATCTCTGGGACCTCTGCCAAAAAAAATCTGATAGCCTGCCCATTTCAGGCTAATTTCGGTACATCTAGGTTTAAAATTCAAGATGTGACAGGTATCATTTAGACTCTACCTTAAAAGGTTCATCAAATATTTCCTAATCATCTCGCACACCTCTTTCCCAAGTATGCTCCAATACTCTTGCTAGAAAATAGCTTGTATACCATCGGTCTGGGGCTTTGAAGGCACCCAAGTCAAAGACTGCAGTTTTAATCTCTTTATTTTTGACCCTTGCTAACAAGGGCATATGCATCTATGAACTGAGCCCCTGAAAACAAGAAGTTTTTCATTTTGTTACTCTACTGATTGTGTTTCTTTTCTTTTTCCCCCTTTTTAGTTACACTAGGCGACTTATTTATTCCGTTTATTTACGTTTTGCTCAAATTAACTTATTGTAATAGGCCAGCCTTCTAAACTATAATCATTTTACCTGTTTTAATGAACTGGTTTTTGATTAAAAAAATCAGTATGATTTATTAAAACTTGCGTGCAAGAAAGGTTACTGTTCAAGCATTTTTTAAAGAATAAAATTATGAGCAGCGATACATCATGACATGATGCACGGTCATCAGCATCCATGCTGATTCATGCTCCCGCGCCCAGGGAATTCTCCGCTCTCCCCTCACTCCTCAGTCCTCACTGTCCATCACTAACTTCCCATTCTTTCTCTCTCTCTTCCTGCTGCTTCTTCCTCAGTTCTTCTGCAGCGGAAGAGCCAAGTTAGAAACAGACGCCCCCAGTCCAATCCATGGCTTCCCATTTTACCCCCACAATCTTCCTTTATTCCCTCCTCCTCCTATCCTCCTCTTCTCCTTCTCCTGTTCTCTGCTTCAACATCACTTCTTTGCTCTCCAATTTCCCAGATCTCTCTCAATTCGCCTCCCTCCTCTCCTCGACCTCCTCTGTCGCCGCAGATCTTAATCGCCGTACCTCCCTCACCATCCTCGCCGTCCCCAACGCTCTACTCTCATCTTCCTCTGATCTCACGCGCCACCGTATCTCCCCCAATTCGATGCCTGATGTCCTCCGTTATCACATTCTTCTCGAGTTCTTCTCGTGGTCTGACCTGCGTTCTCTCCCTGCCTCTGGTAAGCTTGTTACCACTCTCTTTCAAACCACTGGCCGTGCTACTGATAACTTCGGCTCTGTTAACATCACTCGCGACCCAGTCAACGGCGTCGTCTCGGTTCACTCTCCTGCGCCTTACTCTTCTTCATCTGGTTCCCCTTCCAATGCCACTGTGCTTTCCCTAATCAAGACCCTTCCGTATAATGTCAGCATTTTTGCTGTTAATTCTCTTCTTATCCCTTTCGGGTTCGATCTTATGGCTTCCGAAACTCGACCCCCTCCGGGGTTGAACATAACCAAGGCGCTTATCGATGGTCACAACTTCAATGTCGCTGCATCTATGTTGTCGGCTTCGGGTGTTGTTCAAGAGTTCGAGGCTGATGAAGGCGGTGCTGGGATTACTATGTTCGTTCCTGTGGATGATGCATTTGCTTCCCTGCCTCCTTCCGTGAGCTTACAGTCTTTGCCGGCCGATAAGAAAGCTGTGGTGTTGAAGTTTCATGTGCTCCATTCGTATTATCCCCTGGGTTCCTTGGAGTCAATTGTCAATCCACTGCAGCCCACGTTAGCTACAGAATCCATGGGAGCGGGTAGCTTCACACTTAACATCTCGAGGATCAATGGTTCTGTGGCGATCAATACTGGGATCGTTCAAGCGTCAGTAACTCAGACTGTGTTTGATCAAAATCCAGTGGCAATTTTTGGGGTGTCTAAGGTGCTGTTGCCTAGGGAGGTATTCGGGAAGAATCCAATTGTGACAACAAAACCTGGAGGCCCTGTTCCGGAAGGTGCTCCACCGCCGGATTCATCAATGTCGCCTGAGAATTCACCGGGATTAAATGGCCAACCTTCGCACCTTTCCTCTCCACCAGGTTTCCGCGAAGAAATACGGTCGACAGCTGTTTCATGTGGTTATCAGTCTTTGTTCATTGTTCTTTGCTGTATAGGATCGTACGTAGTGGTATAAGATTGATTGTTTTTCATCGTAATTATAATCATAATTATTATTTTTTTGTGGGATTTTATTTTGACTTTTTACACTTCTGCTGCCCGATTAATTAAATTTGGTTGCAAAAGCAACCTTTTTTTGGGTGTTATTCCTTACCTTCTTTATGGAAGCTTATACAATCGTCAATGTTAATCATGCCCTTGTTATGATAACTGGTGTCACAGAGATAAACTGTTGATAGTTTTCTCTGCATTTCTCTTGTAATTTCCTTATTTTAATATAAAATACACTCCAACCTGTTTGAACATAAAATTTGCCTCTCTTCAGATCTTGATAATTTCCAGAGGTCAGGTTGAGTGCTGTGGTCAATTTACCCATTCCCGCAGAAATCCTTCTGTAAATCGACTCTGAGCTGTGGTATCCATGCGGCTGCATTTTTTACTAAGCTTAAAAAGCTGCTGCAATGCATTGTTTATGTTATATCTGATATTTGTAAATGATAGGGGATAGGATGGGTTCATTTTAACTGCTGCTAGGTACAGTGATCTGATGCTGATGCTAGACGCCCTGTGAAATAACTTTTGGCATTTGACTTTGGTGGAAATTTCTCATTGTTCCATTGATCTTCATGCTGGACTTTGCGCAGCTTGCCTGTTGCTGTCATGTGTCATCAGGTAGTTTCCTTCTCAGATTACTACAGTTGTGTTAATTTCATAATAAATATCAATCTTGTATTAAAACCTTTACTATTTAGTTTGGAATGTGAGAACATTGTTATGTTGTTCAAGTTAAACCATTTATTATTTGTAACCTGTAAGAGCTGAGAAAGTTTTCTTGTTTCTGAAACCAAAGATGACCTTTAGCTGTTAGTATCTAGGAAGAAGCCAGTGAGTTTTAATCTCTGTTACTTTTATGTTTGTCTATGAACTATGAATGCTGAAAGTTTGGTTTGTTCACTTGTAGATTTTGATGAGATGTTTTAGAATTTTAAGATGCTGCTTTCTCGTATGTATTGATTCTTGGGTCTCGTCTGTAAATATTATTAGGATTATATTAGAGAATATTTATTTGGTGGAATGGGTAGTTAACGGTTGGTTATTTATTGGTAAAAGAGGAGGATCAAACTTGCAGTCTTTTACTGATCCTTGTGAATGGATCTTCTTTGGTCATTCCATGGCTTGAGATGGTCAAGTTAGGTTGAAATGCCTCTTTTCTTTTACAAATTTTTAAGAGGAAGGTGAAAATTATAACTGACGTAAAAATTTTTTAAAAATTGTACTTAATTTAACCATACAGTGAAGGTTAAATTTTAAATTATAATATTTCTTTGCAATTTACTTTTGTTATGTTATGTTACATTTTTTAATATTATCTTCTAAATTTATGATATTAGCTGGCCTCTCTATGCCTAGAGAGTATTGAGCTAGCCTCAAATAGTAACAAACAAGTAGAAATGGTACCATACTGGTTATGTTGGTTGCTTTCTTGTGAAGTATCTTGGTTGAGTCTTCTGACTCTGTTGGTATATGGGCAGTAGATCTGGAACCTTCTCTTAACCTTTTTATCTAATGCTCTTACTTAAAAGTTGTAGGAAGTATTCTGTGCATTTGGACAACATTTTTGTGACATTAAATTCATGCTAGAAAATCATGTTGTCAAGCTTTTTCTGCCTTTTCATACTGTCAGGCCATTGTTGAATATGTTTTGATGAATTTCTCTACACAATCAATTTATGATTATGAGAATCTGAGTTTAAGGGTGTCTTTCTGCCCAAACTGGATAGCTTCCGACGTAGATATCAGGGACCACCATCTGCTGCATGTTTACTTAGCCTGAGGCAGATTTCCTTAGCAGACTTGGTATCATTAACATCCTTAATAATTGATTCATTAATTGTATTTTGTGTTGTTTTCTACCGCCTCTGTAACTTAGAGGGGAGCATAGGTACGTAGTAGAGGCAAACTAAGGACTAATTATAACTCCTATAGGGCAACTTTTAATGTAGCAAAACAGTTCTTGAACTAGGGAGCTTAATAACAATTTCATCACATCGAACGTTAAAGTGAAAGAAAACATTATTCTAAACTAAAGTTTAATTACACCTTTTGCATATTAACATTAAAATGTAAAGAATGCTTCATGATCTTTCAGAAATAAATCCGCATAAACTCACTCGCCTTTAATGTGAAAAGTTAACACCACCTCTTGTAGGTTTAATTTCTCACATATTTCCTCAAGTCGATTATGAAAGTAACGCCAGGTTCCTAATGAGGTTCAGGTTTAACTATGAGAAAAAAGCCTTATTCCTGACCAGTTTGAAGGGTGACCAAGGGAAAAATATTAAAAACTACAGGTTTCCGTTGATGGTGGGTAGGCAGATAACAGGTTTCATTTACATCTTTGCACTCAATAGGTTGTTCTCCTTGATGTCTTTGATTGTGTTGCCATGTGCAATTCTTTTCAGGAGCTTGGAAATCCTCATTTGCAATATCATAGGACACAAATCGTGAGATCGGTGCTGGATACAAAATCTAATCCTTTTTCTATTTGAAATGGCAAGGTAATATTTTTTAGCGTACTTATTCATTGGAAGCTTCAGAATCAGTATTAGCTTGATTACTTTGCCCCTTCCAGAGGTTAGGCATCAGGGCATGGGTCTAATTGCAATGCTGTTGGGTAACGCATTGCTGATGTGCTTGCTTACTTGAATACACCACAAGCTATTTGCGTGGTTCATTGTCTTAGGTACCTCTAACTTCACTATAGGCTTGGATTTAGTAAGGAGGTTGGCTTAGGTTCAGTTGTAGGTGAATTTTGAGATCAAAACTTATACTCTTCTTCATTAATGGTTGTATGCTGCACTTGAATATGAGATTTAGGATAATATGGTACCCATCCAAGGAAAAGCGAACATCTATGGAAGTGTACAATTTTCAAGTGAGAGGAGAATTATGCCTATTTCCCTTGTGATGTCGTGTGTATCCAAGGAAAACATGCTTGACACATTTTGGGTCAAGTTTTCTTCTTTGTTATAGAGGATATGTACCCCTGGCTGAAGTTTAGTAATGATGCATGTTCAAGGGAAGGCTTTTGGAGAAACTCACCATAGAGAATCAAAATTTAGGGCATGTTTGGGAACTCGTTTTTGGAGACAGTACAAAAGGTGTCCAAACATGCTATTATTAATTCTAAGGGGCATCTGGTTGATAGGGTAGACTGCAATTTATTAGCTTCCCCCAAAATTGCTTGGGGTTATTGTTCACAAACATGAAACTGAGCTATTTCAAGGTGGTAACTATTTTTCCTCTCAACTATAAATTTTTGACAAGGAGTATATGCACAAGATCTTTCGTGAACATTATATGGAAAAGCTACTCAAGGATTGGGTTAAATGATCTATTGCATTATCAGTTTGAAAAATTTGTATTTTGGTTTGAAATCAGTTTAAATCATGAAATAATAATCGTTGACAATGGGGGTTGTTTTTGTCTTTCAATTAATGACGAAAGCCCAAGTAATCTGATGGGTACCTGTTTAGTAGGAAGAATTTATTTTGATGGAAAAGAAAGAAAAAGAAGGGAATGGAATGGAATGAAAAATTTTTGACTGAGAGAATGTTTGGTGGGTAAAGGAAGGAAAAGGAAAATCATAATTTTAATAAAGTGATAAATAAAAAGATAAAATACAAAATCTCCAAAATACCCCTTAGACTTCTACAAAGAAAAGGCCACCTCCCTCCATCTTCATCCCCCACCATCGCAGTTCAACATCCCCCAAATCAAACAACTTCAAATCAGCAACCACACATTCGGATCCACATTTGACAACAAATAACGAAATCAAAATCAAAATAAAAAAAATGATGAAGCTTCCCCAAATCATCAATTGACTGTCGACACCAATGAAGCCAAGGGGAGTGCGACAAAGGGGGTGAGGGTGAGATTAAGAGGAGAGAAGGGGAGGGCATCAGAGGCTGAAACTTGCAAGGAGTGAGGAGAGGAGTAACTTGGGCTAGCGAGTGGCAGCATCATCACGGGAACTAATGGATGTGCGAGGCTAAAGTGAGGACGTCAAAGAGAGAGCAAGAATGAAGGAAGAAGATCACAGGCCACATGGGAATTTTCTAGGCAGGAAGATCAGATCCCACCGATATGTGAGGGAATGGATTTTCCATTAAATGTGGGAAAATTTCTGGCTACCAGAATTTGCTCGCCCAGAAAGTGGTGTAGGCAAACGAACCATGTGAAGGAAAATATCCCATTTTCCTTTTCCATTGGTATATTTTCAGGGTACCCGACGGGCTCTAAGTAGGATAAGAAACCTATCTCAAAAGTTAGTTGTTGCAGTGGGAGAACTGACCCACTTAAATACCCTATTAAGTATCCCATACTACCTAATGTAGAGCTTAATATCCCATACCTGATAGCAACACTCCTAGCACTTTACTCAGACTTTTGTTGGTTAGAACCCTTCATGAGTAGCTCTCTTCAAAACTTCCAACAACATGACTTTAATACTAATTGACGAGTACCTAAGTGGAATAAGAAATTCTACCTCAAAAGCTAGTTGTTGGGATGGGAATACCCGTCCATTTAAATACCAACCCATCCATTTAAATACCGACCCATTGTGTATCCTATACTAGTCAATATGGAATTTAGTATTCCATACTACCAAGTCTCTATCATAACATGAGTGTGATCACTAGAAAAATGAATGATCTAACTGAAACAAGTTATATTTTATGGAGCTCCTGAACATGTGATACCACTATGGATGACAAAAAAAAGAGATGCTACAGTTTGTAAACCTGATCAGGTCATGTGTTGTTTGTATTAGCCATTGATGTAGCTCACATTGGAATGTTTATGGATTTTTTCTCCAAAAAAAAAAAAAAAAAAAGAGGTGTGGAAATATTTTTGCAAGTTCATTAAGTCTGAGTGCTGCAAACGTTGATGTCATAACATAATAGTGCATTTTAAATTGTTGAAGGTGTGGTCAGTAGTCACATGTTAGCATGGGTGACTTTATTTTTGACATTGATCTAGAGTAGACCCTTGCTTTCTCTAGCATGCAACCTATTGCCTTTCATCGAATCCAAATTTTGAAAAAAAGCATTTAGAGGGAGAGAATTTAGCTCATACACAGTTATGAGTGAGCTTGTTTATAGAAATCAAATTGTAAGATTTACTGTCAAGGTCTTTAAATTTCTGACTTTCCGAGTGCTAGTTGCTTATGGTGGTTGCTTTAGTGGCCATCATGAATTTCCTTCAGTCTGCCTTACTTCTAAGAAAGCCACTCTAGTTGGAGGCAGGCTTGGAGCTAATAAATCTCCTTCCAACTTCATCCAGGGATGATTTTAAACCCGCAGGAACTCTCCGTGATACCCCTATATTCCTTTTCATCCTCATGGCATGGCAAATTTGAGTTCTCAAAGACATCTAATTGTTGCCACAAACATATTAGTTTTTATTTTTTTATGGGGAAAGATGGAGAGATGGTAGGAGAAGAGAAAACTTTGGACAGAGCTGCGCGACAACAAATCTCTGATAAATGATATTTCAATAAGCAATAGCCTAAAAATGAGAAAATCTTAGGTCTTTTTATAGAACCCTAAATACAATAAGTAAAATTATAATAATTTAAACCTAAATAACCCACTTAAATGTAAAATAACATCAAAGGAAACCTAACTTCTGAAATAAAATAGTTACTGAACATAAATTACTAAAATATCAAATAAATCTGTCTACTTTGACTATGTTTCCTTCAGAACCAGCTATATATCAGTATCATAGAACATAAAGTCGCGTCTAATGTTAATGTCCATGGTGTTGATTGACCAAGACATGACATTATTTTCTACGCTTCATATCTTGTATGTTGCTTCCTTCTTTTCTGGCTGGAAATTTCCGACTAGGCAGCTGATTTCCCTTGCTTGAGGTGATTTGGCATACTATAAGTAGTTGTGGCTCCTTAACTTGTCTTCAGTGATGAGTTTAATAGACCCTTCTGATCTGTCATGGCTAAAGACGATTATTTATATAGGTAAGATCAGAGGAGGACCAACAGAGGAGAGAAAAAGATGAAAAATAATAGATTATTTATTTACAGTATCACTGCAATTAATAGAATCCTCAAGCTAATATATTAATTAAAAGAAAGATGAGGAATTCCGATCATTAGAACAATGTGATTAGGTGCCTATTAAGTCCATGGATAGAGTATGGGCTAACCTAGTCCTAGCCTTAAATTTTTAATTGGATCAAAACTTCTGAAACATAATCCTAATTTGAAATTCACATTGGAAGGTGTCAAAGAAGCATTGACGTCATCCTCCCACCATAAGAAGGATTTGCTCCTAGAAAATGATATGATTATAATCCTTCAACAGCAAAGGATCAATCTGTCAAAAATATCCTGTGCAATCCAAGTAGAATCAGGCTAAGCATTATTCGTTCATTTCATTAGATGATTTCAGCCGGGCAATGAGAATTGCCTGCACGGTCATCATCCCTGGTGGTCTTGATCTTATTAGAGCAGCCAATGGCAGGGCCACAATGATTTTGGTTTAAAGAGATCTGCATCGACAGTTGGAAGTGGCAAAGTAGGCTCAAAATTATGTTCCTAAAGAAATCAAGTCTTCCACACTGAAAATAGAACTAACACTCACAACGGTAGGCAAATTATGCGAATATGTATTATGTTTTGGCTTAATCAAATTGTGAAAAGAACCTTTTGCTGAAAAATGTTCATATAGAAAGCCTGATTGAGCCCTAATTCCCTAATTAACAACCCTGGTCAACTAAACTAAATCGAAGGCTACCAAGTGTCAAACTTCTGTTCTATTGTTTTGTCTCTGATTTTGTTCGTGAGTGTGTGTGTTTTTTTTTTTTTGGGCTTCTATTAAAATAAAAATAAATCTCAATATATTGTATGGTTACTTGAGAAATGTTATGTCTGTTTTTATGCATTCTTTATCATTCGCAAGTCTAGATGCGATAATAGGATACATTGTTCTCCATAGCTACTTGAAACTTGTGCCAATTGGTATTTCTTTGATCATAAATGTCTCTGGTCCTAAGCTTAATTCTATTTCCCTTCTCTACATCACACCATTGAATTTATCTAAATGCACACTTTTCTCCTCAGAATTAAGTAACTAACAGAAGAGTAATCATCTATATCTGCATGTTATATTCTTTTTTAAATGCCTTGGTGTCTGTTTTTTTTTTTTTTTTCTAAAGATTACTTTTACTATCACAACCTATAGTATTCTTTGATGTAAATGTGTGTATTTTTTTTCGGTTGGCTGCATGCAATGCATAATAATGTTTGTTGAAGGTATTTGGTTAAACTCCTTTCCAGGGGTGAAAAATGCTAGAAGGAAGCGCCATGTGGGAAAGTTGATTGAGGGAGAGAATAATAATTACAAGTTTTTTTTTTTTTTTTTGGGGTCTCCATATTACATCTTGCATATATCTTTTAGCCTTGCTAGTTCAATAATTTAACCCCTCTATATTCCTCAGATTTTCAGAGATGGAGGAAGGCTTCTGTATGATGATTACTTGTAGGCCTTACTTTGAATCATGTTCCTTTAAAATTGAAAGTACATTCTGAAATCATGTAAGCTTCAATGGCAGCCAGATTCTGTTGTCAAAGTTAGCGAGGTTTGGCTTGTTTGGTTTGAGTTTTGACTTGTTGGTTTTATATTCTATTCAATGCACATATGCTAGGAAGTCTTTTGTCCTCGGTATTTCTTGTTTGTGATGAAATCTAAAGTGAGAAGAATTCCGTCACCGAAACTTCTTTGATTACAGGTCAGTTGATTTGGCAGTCGAACCAATACTGGGTTAGCCTTTTTTGTTTTGTTTTTTAGATTTTTAGGACTCAGAAAGCACGTATCTTGTTAAAATTTGGCCATTTTGAGAAGATGATCACTTGTTGGAACAGATTTTAGCGTGTTCTGTGCGAAAATGATAACGTGAAATGTGTTTCAAAACAAAGCACGAACCTGAAGCAGGTTTGCCTCAAATTCAAAATGGAGCAGGTTAATGGAGTTGGCGGTTGAGCCAATCCTTTTTTTTTTTTTTTTAAATTTCACCACACCCTTTGTGGATATTTGGCCATTTTGAGAATGTGATCACTCTTTGGAAGACACTTGCGGTGTGTATGCTGTGAATATGGACAAGTGGTTCTGGTAAAAAATATCCAAAAATGGGGGTGATGCTTAGTAATTTTTTTTTATATACAATTTTTGCAGTCGTTTTTTTTTTCAAGAAAATCATAATTTCGGTATAAGCTACCCAAACACATTCAATTATTTTTCCGCAATCTATTTTCCACTTAACTGATTTTGGTCACTTTTTTTCATAATTTTCCACAATCTATTGTTTTAAATTTCAAAAGCTAACTTAAACCCAATTGAAGTTGTTTTTCCTAACTCATCATGGTTTTCTTGAGAAAAATAGATTTTAGAAAAATACGTTGGGAAAATCATTTTTCATGCAAAATCTATTATACTCAAATCTATTTTTTAAATGATTTTCTTGAAAATTTATTTCTCAGAAACGAATCCCAACACACGTGAGTCTTTGGATCTGATTTTTTCCCCCTCAAATGAGAAATCCCAAACAAGCTGTCACAAATAAATCACTTATCCTATATTTGGTATGATGGACATAGAGGCCAGGGGGAGAAAAAAAATTTAAATGAAATTAAACTTGTTAAAATTTTTCTTTTCCTCTATTTTACTCATCCCCTTTAAACCCCGTAACGTGATGGGACCAAAAGCTAACGCCACCCTGCTCCTGCATTGGCGCTGCCGTTACCAAGCGTTTATGGTCAATAAAAAAATAAAAAAAAATCAAGTGCCAGCAAATGCCTCCGATCTAAACCCCTCTGCGATTCTTTTACTTACCTCCTGTCCTTAATATAAAATTTTTATTTTGATCCTAAATATAAAATCCAATCTATTTTATCTCTTATATTTACTTTTTTTTTTAAATAATCCTTCTAATAATGGTATTTTAACCAATAAATTTGATTAGTAAGTATATTTTAAGAAAACAATACCTATTTATTACAAATAATAAATTTAACTTATTTTTTTAATTTACTCAAATTAGTCAAGTAGTTTTTATATTTAGAGCTAAGGAGTATTTGTCATTTTCAACGTACGAAATGGTTTGACTACTTTGCTGGTAAAAACAAAAAAAAGAAATGGTTTGACTATCAAAGTTCCCTTCTAAAAATCCGTGCAAATATTTTAATTTTCCACGCATGCAGATAATTTTCCTAACTTTTTGTGGTTCCAAATCCGCTGCTACTTCTACCATATCTTTTTCCGTGCAAAAATATGACAATTCTAGTCAATTTAACAAGGTCTCTCCATATTTGGGATGACAAACAGGACTCCTGACGCATCAAACCATCTATATTGAATTGAATTACTGGACAATTTGGAACATAACAAAGCAGTAAGAAATCAAATTTCTAACCAACCATAGAAATCTGTGATATAATAAAAGTTTACAGTTAATAATGGCTACTCCTTCAGTCTTTAAATTGTTGAGTCCATTCTGATCCTAAATGTAAGTCTTATTTTTTACATTGATCAAATTTTTCTAAATTATTTCTATAGATACTTTTTCAACTATAATCAAATAAGAAATGAGAGGAGATATTAAGGAAAAAAATTATATTTTTTATAATTAACTAACTTATCTAATTTTCTCAATCTAATTAAATTAGGTAAACATGTCTTACATCAAGGATTAGAGGAGTATAATATATATTTACATGAGAATTAAGGTCCACAAATTTTACATGGGTATTAAAGCATCCTAAATTGGTCTTGCACCTCCTTAAGAGAGCATCTAAACACCAAAAATTATCTAAATTTAAAATATAGTGCTTCTGTGCTGGATACATACACTGACACACTCTCCTGCAGTATAGTTCATAATGAAAACCAGTTCACATAATACAATCCTCCTAGCGAAGCAAGCCATGCACCGAGAGGATAGTCGTTCATGTATTTGTTTACCACCTCTGGTTTAAACACTGCACAGTCCAACCACGGAGCTTATAAAATAGCAACAGAGAAGCCACACAAGCAAAAGCGCCTCACATCTATAGAATAATCCAATTTTGTGCCCATCACATTATCCACTCGTAACTTAATGGCCACCAAAATTATTAAATTTATGCTGTTATATTCAAACTTAGGAAGCTTGAATTGCCAGTTTATAGATTTCATTTCGACAATTTTTTTAGTTTTACGCAAAGCAAAAACAGAAAAACACATAAAACCGAAAATCTGAATAATCCAAACTTGAAAGGACTACATAGAATAATTCACCCAATTGGAATCTTCTCATATGAGGAAATCGAGGGCTTGGGTCCAAGTCAACCATGACAATCATTGTCAAACGAGGTGTTAAATTATTAAAAAAAATGTCATAATGGGGAAAATTCGGAACCTCAAAAAAAATAGGAGGGCAAAATTTCCGTTGAAACCAGATCAATCAGATTGAAACTCTAATACCAAAAGGATCAAAAGTGCATCGAACTTTTAAGAAAAAGGCAAGAGTGCTCACCGTTGTCTGTATACTTGTATTTTCGGAAGCAGACTATTGAAAGAACCGTATCAGAGAACTTGTCCTCAAATAGCAATTCACCAGACTTGATGCTCCATAGCCGCAAATAATAGTCCTCTCCACCTAAGATTAACTAAATAAGAATTTTGTAATTTCAAGAATGCTAACATAACAGCGTATAAGTTCAAATTCACCTGACATAACAAATCTCTCTTGAGGATCAACCCCAAGCTGTATGCGAGTATGGGAATTTACATGCCCTTCATAAGATTGAATCGCACCCCTCTGAAGTAGGCGATGATCATAGAGACGCACCTAAATTAAATACAAATAGATCATGTAAAATTCAGTAATCAAATCTCCCTGGAATAACCATCCAAACACGATTTTGATGATGTCCTCCCCCAGTCATTTCAATTCGTGTGAAAAAGAAAAATTTTATGGGGACTGGAAATTATGGAGTTGATTATGCACATTATTCCATCCTTCATCAGTCACTCAATCCAAAACCACGAATTAATATAAAAAGAACAAATTCCTCAAGCAAACAACAACAGCATGAGGTCTCTCTTTGCTACAGGGTTTTTATTGCAACTTCACGTTAGTTTTGACTCAGCTTCTGTAATACCAGTTTAGTATCCCTTTTATCATTTTGTAAGTGTATCTTGAAGATCCATGTGATAATAAGATGGATTTTATGTTGCTTGAGTCCGTTTTAACTATTATGAGGAATCCTCAGTTTTGCTACAGTTGAAATGCACTATTTTTTTTAAAAATAAAAAATAAAATAAAATTACTGTTGCTTTGTTTCATTGACGATCAGCTTGAACTTTCCTCAACACAAATTATATTAGCTTGGTTAATATTTTACTTAGCAATTTGCCAAAAGCTTCTCCCTTGATAAAAACATCTTTGATGAATATGTTCTCCTTGATACGTCCCATATCTCTTTAGCCGTTGTAGCCAGGAGAAATGTCCCACTTGTCTCTATTGTCAAGAAGATAAATGCGGTGACATCATATTGTTTTCCGCAATCCAGATCTCAAGTATAGAATCAGCAGGTTGTACATTGGTAAGTACTAAAGGATGGATGGTGAACCTAACCCAAAAAACTAGCTAGTGATATAGGAAAACCAACCCACTTAAATACCCATTGAGCTTAATTTAGTCCCATTCGGCAGGGAACAGGGGTGCCACATGCAGACGAAGGTAGTGGTGTCATTGGCATCAATGTAGTAGAACTGCTCCATGCATCATAGTATCCCTCTTATCATCCCAAACTATATCCCATTTATGAGTTACATTAGGCCCAACACAAGAAGCAATACCAGAGTAGCATTTTTTTTCTCGTTAATTTGAACAAACAATACAGATCTAATATATATCATCGAAGAGGTAGCTACAAGTCAAACCCAACTTCCTTGATTATAGAAAAAAACCAATGGTAAATTGAAATTATAAAATCTGAGATACAGGGAACAGAAATTCTATCCAATCCATTCGGATAATAACAGCAAGATAGAAGTTAATTGGTCTAATCTGATGGACTCTGATGCTTGCCCACAGGAAGTTCTAACAACGGGAATAACAACTAAGATATTTATAGCAGGCTATTTATATAACTCAAGTACAACAACAACAATGATATTTATTCATTAATAACTTATGACAGAGCAACAGAAAACCTAACTAGAAGAAATTACTAGATATCAAAATGAAAACATAAAATCACTAAAAGACAAATGAACTTGAATTAAAATATCTAAATTTCTCATCACCCATTTCTCATAAAATGAAAAAAATAACGGAAGAAACAAACTCTTCAAAGAAAATATGTGGATAAAGAACTTTTCCCACAGTAAACAACACAAAGGAAAGCTTACAAGGAAACACTACATCCATGAAGGGAGGAAATTTATAGTAGGAGAATTCATACAGATGACTATTAATTTAATACCATCCACGACCAAGAAAGGGTAGATTTAAAAGGAAGCACAATCATAGGTTAACAATCTCAGAGAAAGGCACTTACTGATCCATCCATCGAGCTTGCCAAGAAGTATTGATCATCAAATTGAAGTGACACCAAACTATTTTCAAGTTCACAGGAGAAATTACGTAAACCAGCAAGTCAAAGAATACATTACAAGTCATGTAAAATACACGTAGCTCAAAAACAGACAATTGGAATGGCAAAAGCTAACTAACCTGGATATAGACGAAGGCAATCTAGTGGTTTGAGAAGGATTCATGTCTCCAGTGAGCTGCAAAAGGAGAAGGGACAAGTTTATCCACAACAATGCACATTAATGTTCAGGCTGAACATGGTTAACCATAAGATTTCAGAGTTGCAATGCAAAAAAATAAATAAATAAATAAAACAAAACAAAAAGACCAATGGGAGAGATCTTCGGAGAGTGGGTTTTTATGATCCGATAAAGAATCAAACCTATTTAAATATTCCTGTTATTCTATATTTCCTTGAAAAAGGCGCTCAACCTACAGGAACTGTTCAGGATATTTATAGATTTTATACAGTGGATTTAAACTTTCCATTACAAATAGCAAGAGAAATTCTTTGACGTGTACAACGGAAACTAAGTTCACAAGGAACAAGTGATGATCGCTCAGGATCAGGAAATCTCGTTCATAAAAATATGGCTTTATTTAATCCTTTAGCCTTTCAAGTTTAGCCTAGACCAAACGACATCCTTTTACTTCAAATTTAAAGTATTTGATTCTAACTTGTGAATGAACAAAACATGATTGCATGAACCTGTGGTTCTCAATGATTACAAGCAATTTTTCTTCTCAATTTTCGAACAATTTGTTTTATTGTGTCATATAGTATATACGGCCCCTGTTTAGGCATAAGTTCTACTTATATAAATTTACATACAGTGATACCACGTTCTCCAAATAGACAGCCATCTTTACTCAATTAAGCCAAACCTTCCAATGTCTTAGCAATTACAATTTCCTTTGACCACACAGAACATCCAAATTTTTCCTATGCATCAGATGTTTTTGATCAATTCTCCTATCACTTTTCATGCAAAATTTAGAATAATTTACTCACGCTGAATCTCTGTGCATAATTTTATTATGCTATTATTTTATTCTAACATTTCACAAAACACCCTGTTTCTCCCAGATATTCCTGAGAAAAAGATTAAAAAGGAAGTATACCTTAAACCATTCTTTATTAGAACTTCCAGCTTTTTTATCCAAAGGTGGATACGGTATCCTTTGTGTGAAATGTCTACTAGAAAACCTATCTCTTCTCTCACGAAAATCTATAGCAATAATTGCCCCATTTCTAAGTCCACATAATATTGAATTTCCCTGCAACAAAAACGTGTGCACAAAAATACATTACTAAATTTTGGAGACAAACAGCTAAATAAATTAAAATTTCATAAGCCGTAAAATCTCATTTCTTTTCGCAAAAGGATAAAGCATAAAAACAGAATAAAAGCAAAGAAGTCAAAGCCACTTCCAGAACATAGCATGTTACAGATGGAAATAGACATGAAATTAGAAAATGGGTGGGAAATGGTCCACACATCTCCACTTTAAAAGAAGTAATAAAAGGAACTAGTTGTTAAGCAATAATAAATATGTGCTATTAGATATTGCACCAAAAATGTGTTCTGCATTTCTCCTTTGTCCTCTCAGTCATGCTGAAAATGGGCAAAGTTCACAAGAAGACAACACATCCACCTAAAAAGAGGAATTAAAAGGCAAGAAAGGCACAGCAAAATTAAAGATCATGAATGTGATTAAGAAAAACACACCAAAGAATCACACAAACAGCTTTTCATGCATTTCCATCAAAAAATCCACATAACTCATAAATAAGAATAGCTCCAACCGGATGGCCCTATGCTAGGGAGCCTATAGGGTTGAAGATGCATGAGAAGGATGAGGAAAAAAAGCTCCAGTTATGAGAAATCATGAGGAGCTAGCCAAAGAGGTAAAAAGGGAAATATCAGTTTCATGGAACCATAGCTAAAGGGCCAAGGCTAAGAACAGAGAGTGTGCAGTCTCTGATAGAGGGGATAAGAGAGAGATAGGCTGTGTATGCATGGTTTGGTGAAGAGCTTAGGGAAGGCCAAGCAGACAGTGAGTATTTGTGAGGGAGAGACTCTAGCCTCTCAAAAGCTACGGAACTATTGAGTATGTGGGAGTTTTCTATCATTTTCTTCAGTTTTTATGGTTAGACCCACACTTTGCCAGAGTAGTATCATTTTAATAGCATTTTCAGTGTGGCTTCCATCAGTGTTACTACCTCATGTGGTTTGTGATGTTTGTGAGTGTTTTTTTTTTTTTTTTTTTGGGGGGGGGGGTTGTTTGAGAGAGGGAGGAAGAGGACTGTTGATTGGGAATTTGCGAAGTGAGCGATCAAAAGGGTTAAGGAAAGATTTAGCTGGCATGAAAAGTCTGTTGACTCTCCATAGCTGGGGGAGTTTTGTTTTTTCGGTCTACCTTTTTATTTTGCTGTTTTTATATTCTGTGTTCCATGGCAGAAGATTATTAGTGTTACTTCGGTTTTAGGTTCCATCACAATCTTAGGTACAACCAATATTCACCAAAACCTTGAAGTCCAAACAATTAATGAGGGTGAAGGTTTTGGAAGATTATTGACATCTTGAGTAGCCTGTTCATATATCTTTTTACTTCCTTTTTATTAGCAATATCTTTTTACTTCTTTATCTCTTTTCTGCTAGAGGCGATTGAGCCCATCCTAGAACATAATTACTGTACGTAATTAGGAATTATTCATAGTAAATGTTCCTTGCGGTATGTGTTTCTCTTCGGACCAAGGGATTATAATCCCTGCATTTATTGCAAATATTTGCATTTATTTTCCTAGCTCCTAGAATTTCTCTCACATTTTTGTATATATACTAGTGTGCACTCTCAATTGAAAATCATCAAAAAATATTTTCCCTCAGACCATGTGTCCCAGTAACAGAGTCTGGTGCTTTTTCTTCGATCCCTTCTTTTTCTGCCTTCATGGTGTTTTCTCCTGCTCTCTCTCTATGTGGCTTTCATTGCCACTACAAACCAACTGGCTAGACCTCATACCAGCCAGAACACATTCAATTAGTATAACTACAATGACCAACAACTGGGCCACCCATATGCGACCACACACCTTTGTCTTGTCTTTTTCCCCTTTTTGCTCCAAATATCACATGCATGCACGTGAGGGCATTGAGCCCTCCAACTAGCCATTGTCTTTGTCATTTAAATGTAGTATGCCCATGTCTGAGTAGCCCACTAGTATCCACAGAGCATTGAATCTTCCATTATCAGTACACAAGTGCTAAAGAGAATCCCAGTGCTGCTAAAGCACATCCTCTTCGGCATTCCTAGGCACTTCTACTCAATCCTTCTCAGCCTCCCAAAAAAAAAAAAAAAGAAGAAGTCATTCCTTGACGCCTAAATCATTTATTCTAGAGCACCCACCATATAAGCAATTCCACACAAAAAATCGTTTCTAATACCTTATGCCCCTACAATGGAGAGATTATGATGGGGAATTGGTAGTATGAGATACCAAGTCTCACATTGAGTAGAATGGGATACTCAGAAGTATTTAAGGGAGTTGGTTCTCCCACCTCAACAGCTAGCTTTTAAAGTAAGGTTCCCCATCCCACTAAAGTACCCATCAATGGGTATCAGAATCAAATTGTTGACGGCTCCGAAGAGGGCTACCCATGAAATGTTCAAACTGGTAAGATATCAAGTGAAGTATTGTGGAGTACAGCTGCTGAGACATCGGCTTTCCATTAGGGACCAATTGACGGGGACTCAATATGGGATACCAAGTCCTACATTGAGTAGAATGGGATGCTCAATGGAGTATTTAAGTGAGTTGTTTCTCCCACCTCAACAGCTAACTTTTAGGGCAGAATTCCTCATCCCCACTTAACTACCTATCAGATTACAATAGCCTATTGGTCAACAAACGTTGTTGCTGGTCAAGGTACTGTTTATCTAAGCCCTCTTTCTCATATTGAGGAATGTTTTCCGTGCTCCTGAGGTTTATATCAACAAGCTTAACATTGATTTTAATTGCAGTGTGATGTTTGTGTAGTTTAGGAACGTGACACAAGACAAAGAATTGGTCCTGCCAAGGATGAATTTTATCATCTCGTGGTGAAATTCAACGTTTGTCACCTATTTCCTTTCATTCTAAAGACCTTAAGCCTAATTAAGATCAGATTTGACTTCATCGTCACCATCATAGTCATCCTTCTTTTCATGTTATGAAAAATAATGATTTCCTCCATGTGTAAAGATTTGGTTGTTGAGTCTTTTCATTGTGACGTGAGTTTGCTAAACACTAAAACTCTTCTTTCCCGATCAGTAATATAACTTCTGTTCCTTTCAGTTCAGCTCGTGTAATTTGGGGCTCCTTGATAATTCCTAATACAGCTGGAACTCAATGATTTGCATGCTTTATTGATGATTGTGCTCATGTGACTTGGACCTACATGCATCGCTAGGGGCACAAACCAAGATATACCACCCCCTTCATAAATTTACATTGGCCTGTACCCAGAATAACTATGTTACTTATAGTGTATTTATTAAGAAAGTGCTAGCAGCAAATGGCTGAAACCATAAATAGTAAACAAATGCTTCCCCTCTACACGGAAACCATTTCATCATATTCATCCATTGAAATAATTCAATTCAGCATCCAGTTTTCAGTAAGATTTTCCTAAGATGTCAGTTTTTCTGCAAATGTGATGAATTTGATTAAGGAAACATGATTTTTTATAGAAAATAAATGATGCAATTTACATTAGAGATAACTTACTGAATTAAAAATTTGTTCAGCAAAAACATCGCTTTTGCAACGTAAAAACCACGAGGCCTGACCAGTTTCCAAATCCACGGATGCAGCTCCAATATTGGTACCTATGAAAAATAAAATACAAAATGGAAATCTTCTAAAGATTAAAAATTAAAATCAATCCTTAGTAGATTCAAAGTTATACATGGCACATCACAATTATCATATTCATCAGTCATCACCAACTCGGTACACTACCAATTAAGACCTTCATTAGGAACTACAGCCAAATTTTTCATTTATGTGAAGTATAAATTATGTAAAAAGCCAATGAGTATTTGGCTGGTAAACAATGGCATGATTTGAGATATATGACTTATATTGAGCTGCTTGTTTCGTTGTTCAGTGGCAAAATATTTTTTTCCTGTGAAACATGGAACAAATATCTATCTATTTTTAATTTCAAAATAAGTGGAAAGCCAAAAGTACAACTACAAAGTCCATGTCATACATGTAACTTAGAGTTGCTTTCGTTAAAAGTATTTTTCACTCCACATTGGCTTTTTCAGATACATCCGTAAAAAATATCTCAAAATGTCCAAACAACAGTTTGGTGAAAGTACATTTGTCTAGAGTACTTTCATCTTTTCAAAATCAAACACACACGAAGGGAGCAAGAGAGATTATTTGCTGTTTGCAACCATATATATACAAGTAAACCTAATACGCTGAAATTTAAACTGTAAATACTTTTACTGAACTCAGATCAAATTTCTGAAATTATAAGAGATTCAGTTTATTCAATAAATTTAACCAACCATTATTTTCCAATAATCCACAAATCATGCTGAAGTTTTCTTTTAAAGGGGAATAAAAAAAATAAAAAAAAAAAAAGAGTGAAAGATTGACCTATGCATATGCAGCCCACAAATATTGTTATTTGTGCCAGGAAATACTGAACAAATGAGACACGTTTGCACTGGCATGAGCACATGCATCTTTTGCACGTGTGAGATAAAGAGCATGTTAAAGGGAAAGAGAGCAACAGAACTTGCCAATTACAGCACGAGGTCTCGTATAATCATATTCTGCTGTCCAAAAGGTACACTTAAAGGAAGCAACTTGCTTTATTGGGCTCACAACATTAGGCATTAATGGTTCAGCAAGATCCATAATATGAATTGATCCACCTGATGTCTCAGATCCCAAATGAGTAAATCTGTATTGTCATGCTAAGAACCTTCACATTATCAATAACATGTTAACTATGCAGCACAGGATCTTACACTAGGATGGAGTAGATTATACTAATATGTCAACAATGAGCATAGTCATTAATACAAACACACTGCAGCGAAAAATATATATTGTGGCTACGGACAACTAAAACAAAAGGCAAAATAAATATATCCATAGGTAGGATACAATACATGACGAACATTAGGGCCTTCATCTGCATGAGAAGAGAACCTTGGACCCAATCTTATACAAGATATTCTGGATGGCTTTTCAATTAAACCTCCATAATTTGCAACAACTGGTGCAGGCACTTCGTCATGCTTGTATGTTTTTCCTTTAGCATAATTCTTCACACGATCTGGCATCCAGGTTATATCAATAGCTTGCTCTTTGCGAACCTCAAAAAAACTGCAATCATTAAACTTAATTGGCAATAACTAGTAAATACTATATAGTATCAACAATTAATAAGCAATATTTAAGGATCAAAATATCTTTGAGGCTCAAAAGCACGTACATAACAAGTTTTATCCAAGAAATATGCAGGAAAATCAGAAGCACCTCTTATATACCCAGGTAAAAAGGCAAGGATTATCACTTCGTTTACAAGGGCAAATGTTGCAGGAAAAATGAAACAAAATTGAACTTTCATAATGTAAACAGATGCTCTCGATTAAAATGATAACATACTATCTGTTGACAGCACTGTTACTAAAGTGGTCAACTCATCTGCTATTTAACAAGTCTCATGGTTCATCCAAAAGGGGAAAAAAGAAGAAAAACAAAACAAAACAAGAATAAGGAAGTCTTGCTGTTCTATATGCAATAAAAGGAAGCCATTTTTTCCTTCTTTTCTGGTATCAATAATGTAGCTGGTGTTCTCTAATTCTCTAATCAACTATTTTACAATGTACAAATTGATGTTATATGCCGAAGAAAAAAATTGCCATATAATGAGCAAGAAGACCTAAGAATATATTAGGAACCAAAGAAGTTCTCTAATTAGACTCAAAAGAAAGATCAAACAAAATGATAAAACTTCTACTGTTTCACCGAACAGATATTACAATGTCCCAGCTCATAGAATGCCTCCCAGCAAGTATCACACCCAAAGAACACAAACATACAGCAACGAACTACAAAATGAAGCAAAGGCTCCTATTAAACATTTGCTATAAAATACGGAGTTGCACATGTACCACAAATGACACTGACCAGTGAAGAAATGAATTACAGATTCAAAACAACAACGCATAAGAGGAACAAGAAAGTAGAGCATCAACTACACAAGCGAACATACTACAAACACAGCAAGTCAGAACTAAATACTCAAGAACTTGACAAGTTTGCCAACGTTCAAGAGGATGGCTCTCTCCACCCAAACCAAATCCTGACCAAGGTTCTTCTCACCACTCCATGCTCTCAGCTAGTCTCTTTATATCCCCAATTTCAACTTTTTAATTGCCCCCTCCTCTTCATCATTACTCCCTTATTCTACTCCTTAACTTATCTATCCTCTTGTATATTAACTTCAGTATTTCCGTTTAGACCAATAGGCCACAATGCACGCTACACTAACACACACGGCATAACAACGAAATAAATAATTGAATCACAGAATCAAAAAACACACTATATTCTAACTTTAACATCATCAAAGATAGAGCCAACAGGTACCCAACAAAAACAATTATTTATCATTTATTTAAAATAAACAAAGATGCGCGTGCGTGTGTTTTGCATACCTATGCTTAAAATGAAATAAAAAATGACTATTAAAGTGAAGAATTTCAATTTAATCACCAAGTTAAAAAAAAAAAAAGTAAATTAAAGAATGATCACACGATCAAAGTTCAAAAGCAATAATAAACTTCACAAAATTTTACAAGTAATAATAAATAAATAAATTACATGTATGACATAAGAGAAATTCAAAACACTGAACTGAAAATTTACTACCTAGGGTAGGGTTTAAAATGCTTCTCAAATTTTTTAAATAAACAAGTTTTCCTTAGTCCTTAGATTTCATGTGGGGATGTTGTGCGTTAAATGTAAATATCAGTTATTATTGCATAGCCATTATTAGTATTAATTATGATTTATTAGGCTTTATTACATTTTATTTCCCCTTGATGTATATATAGGCCTTGTATCTCATACCATTGGAATTTGAAAAAAGAAAAAAAAAAAAAAAACATAACTTTTAACTTCCAAATGTTCCACATTTCATAATGATCTATACAATTTGCCAACAAAACTTTCTAACCTCCACCATAGACATTTCAAATTATATCTAATTACTTTCCATGCTGCCCATTTGAGCTACAACATTGGGCTTTCACAAAAGTGCAATTTCTTAAAAGAAGCCTAAAATGGAAGCCAAAACTAAGCTAGCTACTGTTTGTCATCCAGTTATCTATGGTACTGGATCCACTATATGGCTTCTTCTGATTAAAAGGAGAACAAAAAGGTCCATTATTGTGCAGTATTCATCAGACAGATGCCAGCCTTTAACTGAAACATGATATCATTTCAGAATCACAAAACACCAAAGTCCATATATTCTTTCAATACGAATATTATCTCAAAATAAAAACATCCGAGACATGTTTTAGCTCCTAGTAAAAAGTTTAATAATAGAGTATTCCATCCAAGGACCCTCAAAAAAGTAAAAAGAAAAACAGATAGAACACGGCAAAAGAGAAACAAAACCAGAAGTTACCGTAGTGAGCCATTCAAGTTGCCTGACAACAAAACGTCAGTTTTGACCACACCCTCAAAAGTCTCTACATCAATGTTTATCTGCTCCAGAGCACTAATATCTATCCTATCTGTTCGCTGGTATTTCCAAACCTGCAAGAGATAATACAATGATCTAACTTTTGGCAATATGATGCATTAACAATGCAAATTCTGTGCCTTCACTTTTAATCATCATTAATGCTTGCCAGAAGTTATTACTTGCTAAGTACATGCAAAGTAGAATTTATAAGTTTTGGTGCTGTATGATTTCAACATTTGAAATTTTGGATTCGAAGATCTGTATTTAGGAAATATACCACAGGTTGTGATGCTTGTGTTTTTTGCAATTCCTCCCTGAAATTGCATTTCCATCTGTAGGACATAATGATATTGCCACTTAACTCCCTGGCAAGAAGCAGTTTCGATGTTTTCTTCAAAGGCTTCCTACAAGGGCTCCTTTCCTGTGATTAACGTGATTCAGCAACCACTATTTACATTTAAAATATGCACAAAAATCATAATAAAATCAAGGATAAACAATATGCAATTAAAACAAAGATCAATAATACTAAAAATAGGAGAACAAGCATTATATTATCAATTAATCACGAAGCTCTAAGTATTTTATTAAACAGATATTATTCAAAACCCACCCCTTAATTTTACCCCCTAATTCCTTGTGTAGCATTTTCTCTAATTTATTTTTCATCAATGACCACAACTTTATTGAAGGGCTACATAGAAAGCACAGATAAAGTACACAAGAATAATAAGTGAATCCTTGTTAAGCGTCTGCCATGGCACATTTATACAGCTCAGAATCCAAACCTTATACAAGATACATTTACATCCCATTCATTTTAGCTTCCAACTTATTACATAAAATTATAGTTCATCCCAGTCATTCCAACTTAATTGAAATGAGTAATTTGATGAGATAAGTAAAGGTTTATAATTATGAAAGAAAGAAGTTAAAATATGATGGCCATTACTCATTCTGCTACTGCCATAAAAAGTTATTGCAGACAGTAAAAAAGTAGAAAGAGGAAACACAGGGCTGACACAAATGGAAAACAAATCATACAAGTGTTTATACACCAAATAGCCAGAAGTAGCGAATGGAAGGGCAAGGGGAGGATACTAGCCTCTCCAAAACCAGCTTCCGTTGCTTCATTTCTTTGTTGTAATCAACGTGAGTATTGTACTGTAGTTTTTTCTTTTTTGCTGGTTTTAACCCATGAGGCACATGTGTGAGTTTTAGAACATTTATTTATCTTGTTTAATACGGAATCAAGGTTCTCACTGCCATTTTATATCATTTTTGTACATTCAGTTTGTACATCTAGTGCCGTTGGTATGTGTTGTGTTGGCCTTTTGTTGCTGTAATCCGGGCCAAGCTTGGGTGTGGTGACCTATATAGTATTTGGATGAGTTTACAGCACTGTACTTTTGTGAAGCAGAACTCCCATTGTGACGTCAATACCAGTGTTATTTTGAACTGTCTGCGTTACATTGCATGTGCAGCAAAGTTCCTATCAGAATCCTTCATCCAAATCCTTATCCACCCAACTTAAATGGCTTTAAGAAAAAGTTATTAGAGAACAATTTTTATTTTATTAAGATACACTCCCTCTTATTTAAATTCCTAAAAACTTAAAAAAAAAAAAAAAAACCCATTTCTGTCCTTTAAATATCGCTTGTAATAATGATTACCAGAATAAACAAGTTTACAAATCGTTAACATGCCACGCATAGAAAGAGAATCCATATCAAATGTTCGATAAGGCGCATATAATGATATAAATACCTGAGTGGACCTTGGGATTGGTTTCTTAGGACCAAGCTTCGCAGAAGAAGAGCGGGAAGAGCCGGGAATGGGGCCTTTAATGGGGAAATACCTGTTCTTCTCTGCGTCGTAGTAAAACCCTGGAAGCTCTGTTACAGAATAAGCACGAAGCATTATTTAAAAAAATAAAAAAAAAAGAGGAAAATTAATCAGTATTCCCAGTACAGGAGACTGTGCGAAAGTGACACAAAAGAACACCTTTAGGTGGCGGCATATCTTCGTCGCAACAAGAAGAACCGTGCCCTGATTGCTCGCAATTGTAAAAAGAGAAAGAAAGGCAAGGAGATATGCACAACGCAACAGAAAGAATCAGTGAAGGCGGCAGAAAGAAAGTGCAACGGTCATACACCGTCACCGTTAGACGGTGGAATCACAGTGGAAAAGGATCGCGGCCCAACCGGTCACCAGGGAACCAAAATTCACAGGAGAGCCGGGCGGAACCGTGGGATTTCTTTCAGGCGGTCCCGTTTATTTCGGAACCCAAATCATGATCTGGATCCAAGATGTGCCAAATACGAAGAAAAATTAACAAATTATGATTTTTGACTTAAAAAGTATGGTTTCAGAAAAAGTGATGCATTCTATTTTGGGTTCAAATTGAAGAGTATGATTATACATGTTAGAGTAGATCTTAATGATAATATGATTTTAACACCTCTCAATTATTTTTTCATAAACACATTTAATCTTATATTTTATAAATATATATACATATTAATCATTTATTAATTATATTATCTTATATATTATTAATTATGTTGGTAAAAAAATAAATTATTAACAATTTTATTTCTTTAAATTAAAATATATTATAAAATCTATCTTTTATATAATTATCATATTAACCTATGTTTTTTTTAATAATTTGTATATATAAAAGTGCTTCTGATAACAACTATCCAAATACTCTCACTTTGTCAAAATTACTTTTTCATAAAATCTATTCTTTATGAAATCTATTCTCCCAAAAATCTATTCTCCAAAAACTATTTTTCAAACTATAATTTGGTTTTATCAAAACACCCCTAATTTTTTTTTAGGGAAAATTGCGCTAATGTCCGAACTCTTAAGAACAACAAATACAGCAAAGAAGGAAAAAAGTCCCGCAAAAGCTGCAAATTAATTAGAAATTCCGAAGGTACCTAAGTATAAGGGATGTAATTTAGTGGATGGCAAAAAAAAAAAAAAACGAGAGATCTAATTTAGTGAAAATGTAAAAAAATCGCATTGCCCTTGCCAATATTCTCACGGGTTAATATATGACAAAGCGGTTGTTAATATAGCTATTTAAATTAATAAAAAGTGTGTTGCAAGTTAATATTCATTATCAATATATGCCACAACAGTTGTTAATCAACTTGTCATTTTTGTAATACTAAGAGTATGATATAAAGTTATATTTTCTCGCACAAAATAACTTATCACTAAAATATGTTCTTCACTTTAAGTTATATATGGTAATTTAAAATGGTTTTATTTTGAACATGAAGTTAATTATTTTAAAATAATATGAATTGTTGTTGTTTGATATATAATTGAGAAGACGAAACACTTAAATGCAGTTGCAAGAATTATCAATTCATTGGCATCCTATGTTATCATGCTTTTTAAGTGCTTGACCTATGGAGTAGACTAGTATTCCTCCAAGATACATTTAAAAAAATAGACCAAACATACTTGTCTTCTTGATAATAGTGGACACATAATCAAAGAAGATTTAAAGTTAGATGTCCCAAATTGTTTCAATGATTTACATCAAATTGCAAATAAGATACTACCTCCGGTCCTAATTATAAGACCCAGTTGACTAATTTGAGAAGATTAAGGAAGTAAGTTAAGTTAGTTATTTGTAACAAATAAGTATTGTCATTCCTAAAATATCCTTGCTAATTAAGTGTTGGTTAGAACTATCATTATTAGAAGGACTATCTTAAAAAAAATACATAATATAAGAGACAAATAGATTGGGGTCTTATAATTAGAACCAAACTAAAAGTCAACGGGTCTTATATTAGGACCGGAGGTAGTATCAAGTAAGGCTACTAAGTTGACTTTTTTGGGCAAAAAATTTTGTAGAATTAGGCATTGAATTTGATAAAATATTGAGCAACAGTTTTTTTTCCATTTCCAATCAACAAAAATGTCAACGAAACCATTGCAAATGATGAGAAAGATGCATGTGAAGCACGAGAGTTGGGAAAAAAATGGAGCATCTCATGTTAACAATCGTCCTGAAAGTTGTCCAAAAAAGAATTTAAAGAGAAAACGACACTAAGAGGTATTTAGAGAAAATATATATATATTTCATCTTCAATTAGATTTTTTTTTTGCTATCTTTAAAATAATATTGGCATTATTTACATTTATATTTAAAATAATTGTTTGAATTCTATAAATTACTTACATTTATATTTTTCATTTCAATTTGATCCAAGTTGACACCTCACATAAAAAAATGAGGATTAAGGTGTAAAAATACTTATCAATTTTTACTAAAAGTACACGTAACACTTTATATTTTTTTCAAGTGCAAAACTGCCAATGAATGTTAAAAAACTGAGCAAAAACGATGTTTCCGTTACATAAGCCTAACGTCTGTTATCTCAGGCCAAGCTGGCGTCCACATCAGCATAGTCCTCCACTTTCTTAGAAACAATCCATCACCCATCATCTTCATCACTCATCCATCCAAACATTACCATGTTTGGATTAGTGGCAAATTCAACGAACAGAGATTATCCCACATCAACAATCAACAGGTGAAATAAAAAATCATCCCATATCATCAAAGTCAGATGTAGTCTGAATCAAACTAAAACAGGAAGATAAAATTAAGAAGGAAAAAAAAAAAGAAAAGAAATTTGCTGAGTGAAGAATTGAAGAACAGGAGATGGAAGAACTAAAGAAGAATATAAGAAAATTTCCAGCATTGGGCAGCTTCTTCCATCGAATTGAATACATCAAAGAATCAAAGCATCCAGATATGGAAAATCAAAGGCAAACTCTGCAATCCAACAGTTCTCTTGCAGATTCATCAAGCCCACTTTCCAATAAGCTTTCAACATGAACAACAAACTCTCAATGAGATCCATATTTGAAGCAAGAAACCTCAAAAAGTTGAATGTTCCTTCACCATCCCCACCATTCACATCATCATGTCATATAAAGCTATAAATTTGTAAGAAGGAGGGTTACATGCAAATTTATAGTTGCTTTGAAAATTCACTTTCTATTTCCTTCTCAGCGTCAGAATATAAATCCCTAGGTTGCAAAATGGTTGTGATCCTACAGGAAGAAACTGAGACTGAACAAAAAGTCGTGAGTCCCTCTGAATCTGCGAAAACTGCAAAATCGTCAGCCTCCCAGAGGATACGCATAAAGAACAGGGCAGATCAGAGGAGTCTTCGGTGTTGAAGGTAGGGAAGTCTTTGGTGTCGACAAAGAAGGGAAGAAGAGGCCGCGGATGTTAACAGCATTGATTTTTGCTATGATTTTGAATTTGCATCGTTAATTTTGCACTTGAGAAAATATATAATGTTAGCACATTTTTAGTAAAAGTTGATAGATATTTTACCTTAACTTTTTTTTTTTTGACCAGATTTTCCCACCTTAAAAATTATGTAAAGGAGAAGAGCAATATTTGGAATGACGCAATAATTATTTTCACAAAAGAGGGGGGGGGGAACTATGAGTCAATAGCTTATATGCTTTAATATATTTTAAGTGGTTCGAAAGTACTGGCTTGGTTAAGTCTTCAGTATAATAAAGACATTTGCTCTGCTCTGCATTATCCTACTGTAATAACAGTGATCTAGGCCATCACCGGGGACCAAAAAAAAAAAAAAACTATCTTCGATCCTTAATATAAGAAATAATCTGACATTTAATTTGATCTTACATATAAGACCTCAATCTACTTTGTCTTTCATATTTATCTATTTTTTTAAAATAGTCATTATACTATTGTACTCCTCCGGTCCTTAATATAAGACCCATTTAACTAATTTGATTAGATTAAGGAAGTTAGGTAAGTTAGTTAATTATAAAAAAAATGAACGTTTTTCCTAAAACACCATAATCATCTTTCTTAATACCCCTCTCCCTCTTCTACTTGATTATAGTTGAGGGAGTATCTATAGGAGTAATTTAGAGAAAAATGATAAATATGATAAATGAGTCTTATATTTAGGACCAAAACCAACTCATGAATTGGGTCCTATATTAAGGACCGGAGGAGTACATGTAAATGTTTCATTAGCTACTAGTAAGGATATTTTAATGAAGACAATACCTATTTATTATAATAACTATCTTAACTAATTTTCTTAATCTACTCAAATGAGTCAACTAGCTTTTATACTAAGGACATGATGTAGTATTAAATAGTAGTACAACATTCAAGATTAAAGGATAGTATGAAATGCTTTACCAACGCCTAAAAGAGAAGGAAAACAGACATCACACAAATATTCATATATATATATATATATTTATATTTATATAACTAACCATATGATGATCTCCTCAAGAAGCATGCATTAATAAACTTTGCAAACCACTGTGCAAGTAAGCTTACGGATGACCATTTTACACTATTATTGCTGGATCCATTAATAATTCAGTTCTCCTATAGAGGTTTTTTTTTTTGGTCCACTTAGAGCCTTTAAAATTGGAGATATGTTAGTTGGTGAAAATGAACGCTATGTGCCAGTAATACTATAAGTTCGATATTTTGTCTTGTCTTGTATACATAAAGAAGGCGAACTCATAGTAGTAGTACATTGTGTCTCCATTAACAACACATAGAGCTCTAAGAGTTGCTCAACTTTCCACAATCAAAATCAATTATCTTTAATCGAATATCAGCTAGAAGTGCAGCCAAAAACTTATCTCTGAAAAAGGAGACCAATTTGGATTCGCCCTGCTGAATAATGCCTGCCACATAAGCAGCAGAGATTATATTTGCACTTCTCCATCGTCTCTCTTTAGCATATTTCTTCAAGCCAGCCTCAATCCTCTTATACTGTTCCTCTTCTTCTCCATTCCTGTTTCTACTTTCTCCACTTGATTTTGTGAAGAAGACCTCGCCAAGACACCGAGCTAAAACAACCCCATCTTCTAAAGCACAGCACCCACCCTGGCCAAGATCAGGGGTCATAGGGTGGAACGCATCTCCAGCAACACACACGTTGCTCTTATTGATATTTCCAAACACTAGCTCCAAAGGATTTCTATATCTCAATGGAG